ATCTGATATTTTTTGTACTTAAGTATTAAAAGTAAAAGTATTGATTTAAAATGAGCAGTTAGGTTAAAATGTAAGGACATTTATTAGGAGGTGACCTCCCGAAACAATGCAGAAATGACTATATTGTATTAAAATAATTAATTTATGTTAAATTTAGGATGCACTAGTCCAGCTGTTTCAGTTTATATCAAGGCTGCACAAAACTTTTCCCCAAAATAAAAATCTATCTGAGGGCTGCGGCCAAATGTAATAATATAATTCATGAAATAAAAATACTTCATAAGTACAGTACTTTTATTTTAATGATTGTGTCCTGCTGGAGTGTGACATGATTTGTTTGTATACAAACTAATACACTATCAGAATTTTATATATTTATAATTCTCATTCAACTACAATTCTAGGAGGTACAGTTTATGTGGATAGTATTTATTTTTTACAATAAGCTGGAATGAAAACAAGCAAAAATGAAATAAAAATAACAACTTCTTGCCTTTTTTTAAATGTAAGGAGTAGAAAGTACAGATAATTGTGTGAAAATGTAAGAAGTAGAAGTAAAAAGTAAACTGAAAAATAATTACTCAAGTAAAGTACAGCTACCCCAAAATTCTACTTAAGTGCAGTAACAAAGTATTTGTACTTAGTTTCTTTACAACTCTGATTTAGAGATAGATTCAGAAAAAGATTTTGTGACATTGTTGCATTTTTATTTATTTTGTAGTGTAGTGTGTTAATCTCTTAGTCCAGTCAGTTTTGTCTTTGAGTTAAATACAATGAGGTGATTTTTTTCAACATGAAGCTGCAGCTGGTGAGGTGAAGCTGAAGCTGTGGGCAGACGGACCGAGCCGCAGTCAGAACCACAGAGGAGGGAAGCTCAAAGGCAGAGAGGGTGAGAGGAAAAGACAGAGTGAGGACTTTGAAGAGGAGCGGCATTAATCATATTAATCGCCAAGCGCCAAAAAAAAAATACTGGATTGATTTTTTTTCTGGTGAATATTTGCACAGGATGCAATTTTGCCCAACCCTACTGGATTATTTACTTTTTAAAAGTTTACTTATCTAAATAAAATATGATTTCATAACAGTGTGGCAGGATTTTGAATGAAGAGCGTCAGAGAAAGATGCTTCCCCAACACGGTCCAATGCATAATGGGAAAGAGGCTTTAAATAAACGGAAGAGGTAGTTGAAGCTGCGTGTTAAATGAATATGATCTACAGGATCTCATGGTCTCAAACACATGGCTAGTACTGAAGTTATCTGTTCCCTTTCCTGTAAAACTGCTGGCTTCACTTTCATTTCTCAGCACAGAGCGGCCTGAAACAGACAAATTACAGCAGCGTGACCCAATTTACAACGCAAATGTCTCACATATACCAGCTGTTTGTCTTCAACAGATTTATAAAAACTGTAAAAACAGACCTACTATTGCTGCGTAATATAAACCCAGATCAACAGCACCTCTCTTCTCCACTCACCACGCCTGCATTTATCTGAACACTAAATGCTGAAACGTAAACAAACCCTGAGATGAAAACAGATTAAAAGCACTCGGAGACACATGGACAATCGCTGGTGTCTGGTTGATTAGAGAGCTCCTGCAGGACGGCATCAGGCACCAAACGCACCCCATCCTGCCTGCAACCAGAGCCAGACTCTCTTCAAATACCAACAGAACCCTGAGTGAACCACAGAGACGAAAACACACATGTTGTCGTCAGTCTGAACTTCTGCAATAGAAAGTAAGTGACAGAAAAGAGAAAATGTGTGTGTTTGTGTGTTAAATGTTCTGCCCTCAGGGTCAGTGTGCTCCACTCACTCACAGATAAAAGACACTCAGAGTCTATTAATACTGCCAGGACAGAGGCTCATTCCACCCTGTCTCCTCCTCAGCACCCTGTCTTCCCCCTCGTCCTCTCCTCACCTCGCTGCTTTGTAAAAAGACCAGAGGAGAATAAATAATTAAAGCTAAATAGATTGGACCTTCTCTCTTTTGACTTGGACACATTCCTTTCCCTCTGGGAATGCACCAGATGCAACAATATAATACTGTATTCACGGAAGACGGAATTTAAAGTATGCAGCTGAAGCACATTCTAAAAAACTGCATGACTGGACAGTTTGAGTGTCATTACAGAACACAAAATGTTTTATAGGCATTCTCCTGAACCCACTCAAGAGGTGAGTTCACCACTGAATATTTACTTACTTACTTACTTATTTACTTACCTACTTACTTACTTATTTACTTACCTACTTACTTATTTACTTACCTACTTACTTACTTATTTACTTACCTACTTACTTACTTATTTACTTACCTACTTACTTACTTATTTACTTACCTACTTACTTACTTACCTACTTACT